CACTGTTCCCAGGACCATCCAAGGCCTTATAGGGTAATAGTACTGTTCCCAGTATATAGACGGACAGCCTGGGTCTCCATCCTGTCTCCAGCTCTGCCTAGATAGAACTCCTGGGCTTTTCCAATCCCCAGGGTCCCTCCTCCCCTTCTCCATGAGTCCCTATCAAACCACTCCCTCCACTCCCCCAGGCCCAGGCAGAGCCGAGAGCTCCCAGTCCTGGATTGCCAGGTTCCGGTGCCCTTCAACCTGGCAGAGGGTGGTAGAAATAAGGGGTGAGCAATTTTTTGGGGGGGGGGCAGCTGGCAGGTACAGGAATCTGAATCGTTGACCTTGGCGTTAGAGCTGAGAAATTTTCAATGGCATTCATAACACCTTTATAAAAATCCCAATACAGCATAAAAAATATATCATTGCACAAAACAAAATAATCAGATTCTAGGAATCTGGGACATTTGGGAGAAGTGAGATTCACATTGGAAGGACACTGGGAGTGAAGAGGGATGTCATGCAGTGACTTAAATCCTAAAAACTACGGTCAGAGTCAGCATTTCAGAGGGAATGGGAAGGCAAGGGAGGGGTGGAATCCCTGCTGCGCGAAGGCCTGTCCCTGTCTAGGATGTCCGGTCTTCCTCCCTCTCCTGTCCCAGATTTTAGCTCTGCCCTCCTCCCCCCTCCGAGCCTACCCCCTGCACCCTTTTGGGATCTCCTTTGCCCAAAGGGTATGGAACGAAAATCTGCTAAGGGACTAGAAAGATGGGGGGGTGGGGGGTGGAGATTTCTAGAAAATGAAGAGCAATTCCAGGGGTCTCTTATTATCCCCCGGTTCTGCCACACATTTTTCCTATAGAGAGGCTGAGGGCTGAGGAGAGGGGGAGGACTCCTCTTCCTAATCTGCCAACGTATCCAACAGCTTCTCTGGTGTCTCCGAGAAGGATATCTGCAGCCATGGAGTGAGCGGCAGCTTTTCTGCTGTCCCGTCTGCAGCAATTCAGGGTGTGTAGTCCAGCTCCTCAGTGAGGGGTTGTGCAGACGGAGACAATCTCACTGTGGGGACATGGCTGCCCCTGTCCCCACCAGAGAATCATAGAAAGGTAATAAATAGTTACATGGGCTTTCCACCCACATTGTCCGTGCAAAACTCTCCAAGTTTCTGGTTGGCCTCAGGCTGGGACATCAGTTAGCCGTGGCCCGAGATTGCATCCACTGGAGCCCGGCGGGCAGCCTGCACAGGGGAGGGACAGAGCAAGGATCAGCCCGTCCCATGAGGATGATGGCCCTCAAGCCCCCAGCCCCTGCCCGGAGCAGACTGAGGGGACAACCAAAGCTACATCCAATCATTCAATCAACAAATACAGTATAAACTGACTTGAGTAACTGCCATGCCTCAGGAAATGTGTGAAGAGCAGGGTTACTGGTGAAAAAGCAGACACACCGTCAGAGGCTTACAGTCTAGCAGAGGAGATGGATATCAAACAAATAATTCTATGACTACCTACTGCAATAAAGGTTAGGAAGGAGATGTACAGAGGCCTCTGGACATCTGAGAGTCAAGGAGGGCTTCTCTGAGTAAGGAGCCTGGAGACCCACCTTCCTGGGCCCCTTAGCAGTGCCTCTGGGCAAGGCTCCCATGCTCCCCCCGATCTGCTCCACCACGAGGGGCAGTACCAGGGTGACTTCAAAGGCCTGGGAAGAGGCTCCATGTGCAAGTTCTGCCTTAGACTGTAAGCAACTCCAGAGGAAGGGTGGAGTCTTGGTCATCTGCATGGCATCCCCAGCCCTTGCCTGGCACAGTGGGTGGCACATGGGAGGTACTTAGGAAATGCTGGTTGAATTGAACTGACTATGGGTTGTGGGGGAAAGAGTCTTCCTGACCCAGGGGGTGGCAAGGACACTGCTGGAAAATTACGGTCCCTTAGGCTGAATTCCCTAAAGCCTCCCCTTCTTCAAAAAGGCATCTGAGGGCCAGCCCGGTGGCGCACTGGAGAGTGCGCTGCTTGGGAGCGCGGCTGCGCTCCCGCCAGTGCGCTGCTTGGGAGTGCGGCTGCGCTCCCGCCAAGGGTTCGGATCCCATGTGGAGACCGGTTCCAGCTCACTGGCTGAGCGTGGCGCGGGCGCG